TTGTACCTTATTTTGGGACCTTCTTTTGAGCACCTCAAACTTGTGAAGAAAAATTTGTGAAAAACATGTTCATTTAAGCAACATCAATAGCATGCAATTAACAATTAAAGGCGGAATCATGCTTGTATGCACTTAAAACAAAACATTTACCCATGAAATTCAAAGCCTAGTAGATAGGTGAACCAAGACTCAACTCAAAACAAAGTGAGTTGAGAAATCAATACCTTTGTAGATTCCTCTTTGCATAAGCAAAGGCTAATCACCCAAAGAGAGGGCCTTCATTCCTTGCATCTTAGATCCATGGATTTGGATGGATGAAAAGGTTTCTCCAAGTTCCCAAAATTGAGAACTTCTAATGATTCATCACCAAGGCATAATGAAGAAGAAATGAGTGACCTTGGAGGAGTTTGATTGCTAGATGATCCCTCCAAGGTGGCCGAAATTTTTGAGAGAAAGGAGAGCTTGTGTTCTCATCCTTTCCCCAAAAATAACCCTTAGTAAATTTTAGGCTATAAAGTCCTTTATATAGTCCCTTCAAATAAGTGACCTAATGGACCAAAAGCCCTATTCTTTTACACATGGCCGGCCTATAGGTTTATTGGGCTTTCAAGCCCTTTGTTTTATTCAAGTTGTCATACAACTTGAGTTAATGGGTTTGACATTCAAATCCCATTGGGCCTTGCGGCTCAAAACTAACCCAAGGTCTTTAACGAACTTATTCGTTTGATTAATTAACATATTAATTAATCCTAGCCTTAGATAAATAATTAAACCATTTAATTATTCTTACTCATCTCCGTTGTTTCTTTAAACTCTACCTTACTCGGTGAACGATCCATTAGGTTCCTTTTAGCGAGGCAGTGGACGATTAAAACTCTTTCTAATCGATTGTGAATTGAAACTTACTTTCAATTCTCCCGTTAGTGATAATACACTTTTAGGGCTTCCACAAACCATGGTTGACGCCTAACAGCATGTCATGGTTATGAAGGAAGATTTGTGAAAAACATGTTCATTTAAGCAACATCAATAGCATGCAATTAACAATTAAAGGCGGAATCATGCTTGTATGCACTTAAAACAAAACATTTACCCATGAAATTCAAAGCCTAGTAGATAGGTGAACCAAGACTCAACTCAAAACAAAGTGAGTTGAGAAATCAATACCTTTGTAGATTCCTCTTTGCATAAGTAAAGGCTAATCACCCAAAGAGAGGGCCTTCATTCCTTGCATCTTAGATCCATGGATTTGGATGGATGAAAAAGTTTCTCCAAAGTTCCCAAAATTGAGAACCTCTAATGATTCATCACCAAGACATAATGAAGAAGAAATGAGTGACCTTGGAGGAGTTTGATTGCTAGATGATCCCTCCAAGGTGGCCTAAATTTTAGAGAGAAAGGAGAGCTTGTGTTCTCATCCTTTCCCCAAAAATTACCATATGTAAATTTTAGGCTATAAAGTCCTTTATATAGTCCCTTCAAATAAGTGACCTAATGGACCAAAAGCCCTATAATTCTAATCATGGCCGGCCATAGGGTTTATTGGGCTTTCAAGCCCTTTGTTTATTCAAGTTGTCATACAACTTGAGTTAATGGGCTTGACATTCAAATCCCATTGGGCCTTGCGGCCCAAAACTAACCCGAGGTCTTTAACGAACTTATTCGTTTGATTAATTAACATATTAATTAATCATAGCCTTAGATAAATAATTAAACCATTTAATTATTCTTACTCATCTCCGTTGTTTCTTCAAACTCTACCTTACTCGGTGAACGATCCATTAGGTTCCTTTTAGCGAGACAGTGGGCGATTAAAACTCTTTCTAATCAATTGTGAATTGAAACTTACTTTCAATTCTCCCGTTAGTGATAATACACTTTTAGGGCTTCCACAAACCATGGTTGACGCCTAGCAGCATGTCATGGTTACCCAAGCTAATCAGAAGAGGTGGAGAACCTATTCAGTTTTAGGATTACAAATGCAATACGGTCTTTCTCTAATACAATACTCTTGACCACATTGTTTGGTTTGATAGTTTATTCATGTCTACTATCCAATGTGAGTCTTGTGCTTATATGATTACCTTAAATGTGATTTGGAACACATTCCTAAATCTCATTCATACTTTGGCCAAAGATTCTCAATCATATCATAGAGTATTCTCCCTCAAACAGTTTCAAGGTTAGAGATCCCTTGTTGCGCATTCACTTGCCTCCATGGCTAAGTGGCTTAACCCCAACGATGCCATGGACACCCTCCTGATGGAGTGACTTTGACATAATCAAAGATTAAGGACCTAACCACAAGACAACTGTGATGCCTCAGGTCAAAAGACTAATTTGCATTATCCCAACCATGAGTTCTTATGTGACATGAATATGAGAACTCTTCGTTGATCGTGTTCAGTGAACTCATTCTCTATTGAGCACCTACGTACTTGTCTTGATGTCACACACACCAATGACTCGAGACTAGTCATTCTCCCTGAGAGAAGACATAACACGTACTGATCTTAACGGACTGTCAATGCCCAATTGACAATCCTATGATCAGGAACGTTTAGGATGTGTCAACGAAAGAATGGTCTTATGAATTTAACTTCTTTAGATCGCATTCTTCCAATCACATATTCCTTGGACTTATCGTTTAAGCATATAACATTTATATGAGACGACTCAAACAATAATCTTTGCCCTTTACATTTAAACTACATTAGTTTGAAATGTCCGTAAAGTATCATCATATGATTCGTTTTAGGGCACATTTCCAACAGATTACCCAAGCTAATCAGAAGAGGTGGAGAACCTATTCAGTTTAGGATTACAAATGCAATACGGTCTTTTTCTAATACAATACTCTTGACCACATTGTTTGGTTTGATAGTTTATTCATGTCTACTATTCAATGTGAATCTTGTACTTATATGATTACCTTGAATGTGATCTGGAACGCATTCCAACATCTCATTCATACTCTGGCCAGAGATTCTAAATCATATCATAGAGTATTCTCCCTCAAACAGTTTGAAGGTTAGAGATCCCTTGTTGCGCATTCACTTGCCTCCATGGCTAAGTGGCTTAACCCCAACGATGCCATGGACACCCTCATGATGGAGTGACTTTGACATAATCAAAGATTAAGGACCTAACCACAAGACAACTGTGATGCCTCAGGTCAAAAGACTAATTTGCATTATCCCAACCATAAGTTCTCATGTGACATGAATATGAAAACTTTTCGTTGATCGTGTTCAGTGAACTCATTCTCTATTGAGCACCTACGTACTTGTCTTGATGTCACACACACCAATGACTCGAGACTAGTCACTCTCCCTGAGAGAAGACATAGCACATACTGATCTTAACGGACTGTTAATGCTCAATTGACAATCCTATGATCAGGAACGTTTAGGATGTGTCAACGAAAGAATGGTCTCATGAATCTAACTTCTTTAGATCGCATTCTTCCAATCACATATTCCTTGGACTTATCGTTTAAGCATATAACATTTATATGAGACGGCTCAAACAATAATGTTTGCCCTTAATATTAAACTAGATTAGTTTAACATGTGAAATGTCCATAAAGTATCATCATATGATTGGTTTTAGGGCACATTTCCAGCAACTTGTTCTTAGTAAAGCAAAGATTATGCTTCTTTTTGGGATGTGTATATTTGTAAATAGATTGTGAAGAACGTAGCCACCTTCGTTTTATTTTGGGTTGCAGTTAAAATATTTTATTCTGTATGGGGTATATTATTCAACGAATGTTATTTTTTTTCCTTGGCCACATGTCGATTTTCAACGTTTGTCGGGATCGGGGCGTGACATTCGGAATTTGGAAGTTTCATTTAATGAACACTATTCATCTGTGTTTTCGCAAAAAGAAACTGATCTTTCAAAGCTCATTTTTGCTGCTTCACGTTTTCAGCTTTTTCATCAAAAACTGTGAAAATAAGCTGTTTTTAAGTGTTTACCAAACACCTTTTTAAGCTCAACGTTTTTTGATACCCACTTTTTATAAAAGCACATTAGTATCAAATCAGTACTTTAGCAACTTGTAAAATGCAATGCAATTTCAAATTTGGTAGAAGATCGAACTGTGGCTGGACTTAAACAATTAACAAATCACATGATTTTAAAAGAGAGTGAGGTGTTACTAAAGAAACTAATACGAGAGTTTAAAAATTAAAAGTAAACTACAATATTGTTACTGAAAAATAAAATTAAACTACAATATATGTCACATCCCAGCCTCTGCCGTAACGCGATATTGTCTGTTTCGCAGTCTCACGGATTTGTTTTTGGGCAAGAGAACCTCACTACCTAAAACGCATCATGCTAGAAAGAGATGGACATGTACATATAAGGCCAGGGACCAACCCTCACCCCACCGATGTGGGATACCTACAATATATCCATACATTGTGAAAGAGAGTGGGGCGTGAAGAGAAAAAAGAAAATAAAATTACACGAACCAACAATCTAAAAAATGAGTAATGTTATTCATATCATGTTTTTGTACCACATTTTCATACCACCTTAGGTGACATTTGATGTAGACAACCACATCATTTGAATTAATCAGATTTTTAAATTTAGTTCATTATTTAATAAACTGATAATTAAGAAAAACTAGTTAATTAAATGATGATTATGGTATACGAGGAGTCTTTCTCCTTCCTTTCTTGGGGTCTGCAAATTTTTCAAATGATGTGGCTGTCCACATCAGATGTCACCTAAGGTGGTATAGAAATATGATATAAAAACATAGTATGAATAACATTACTCTTAAAAATTTCCACGACCCAAAAATAGTTCAAATTAACCTATTAAACAGGTGGCCAAGTTTTAGCCCTTGGATTACTACCAACGGTCAAGATGGACACGTGGCAGTCATACTGCATCCTATCAAAATTTAAAAATGAAAAGGATCGAAATACACCGTTTGGATACAACTCAAACCTTAAACCCGGAAAGCGCACGCTCTCGCCTCTCTACAATATCCTCGTTTATTTTCAATGTAAATCCACATTCCCGCTCATTCCCTTGTACCAAACATTTGACCTTTCGTCCCCAATCCAAAAGCCTAATCCCTCTCTCTCTCTCTCTCTCTCTCTCTCTCTCTAAAATTTCAAATCTGCAAACCCTAGGAAGCAAAGCTCAGAGATGAACCAGTACCACGTCTACGAAGCCATTGGCCGCGGAAAATGCTCGGTAAGATTGATTCACAAGCTCGTTCGCGTCTTCATCTCCGAACTCTCCGATGCGACGATTTTAAGTTCAATTAGTTGCTTAATTAATCGGATTGCTGTTGGATTTGCAGACTGTGTACAAGGGGAGGAAGAAGAAGACCATCGAGTACTTCGCGATTAAGAGCGTCGAGAAATCGCAGAAGAGCAAGCTTCTGCAAGAAGTAAGTAATTAAGTTCAGTAAGCAAACTAAGAAACAAAATTCGGATTTAGCATTGTAGGGTTTAAATTTGGTTTGGTTAATTCAAATTCGAAGACGATTTAGGTTATAGAGTTCTGCATTTGGTGCAGGTGAAGATTCTTCACACTCTAGATCATCAAAATATCCTCAAGTTTTACTGGTGGTAAGAATTCTTTCGTCTGATATTTGCTTCTGTAATTTCGATACTTGTTTTTATTTAATTTGAGCTAACAATTGAGTTGTGTATTTGTGAATTTCCTTTTTTGTGTGCCGCTATTAAATGCAGGTATGAAACTTCTGCTCACTTGTGGTTGGTTTTGGAGTATTGCGTTGGGGGTAATTTGATGACACTATTAAACCAGGTAATTGATCACTTAGTCTGCGCTTCACATCAAAGTAATGTGTAGAGCTTGGGGATTTTTCTTTTATGTGTAAGACGGAATTATTGCGAATTTGGTTGGTCTTAGAATGGTGCTAAACTGCTAATGTTTTATTGAAGATGATTCGGTGTTTTTAGAACTCTAATACTGATAATGTATGGAAATGTAGGATAAACAGCTACCTGAAGAGTCGATTCATGACCTTGGGTGTGACCTTGTTAGAGCTTTGCTGTAAGAATCTTGAATTGCTTCATTTTTTTGTTCTTCTTACAAGTCTCTATTTCTTTACTTCATTTAATTCATGTTTTCGGAATGTTCACTTTGTGTTAGGTTTTTACACTCAAAGGGAATCATATACTGTGACTTGAAACCATCAAATATCCTGTTGGATGAGAATGGCCGTACAAAGGTACGAGGAAGGATATTTTCCTTGCATATTTTTCTCGATTGTTTTATGTTTTTTCTCTTCATCTGAACTTGTATGTTTGCACAATGCAGCTATGTGATTTTGGATTGGCAAGAAAATTGAGCGACATATCACAAATCCCTTCTTCTTCTGTAGGTTATCTTATCCCAACATGTGAAAATCTTTTGGATAAAGTAATCTGAATGTAATTAGAAAATATGAGAATACTAATGTAGCTTTACCTTGTTGTACATGTTTAGTTGCCGCAAGCAAAACGTGGAACACCTTGTTATATGGCTCCTGAGCTGTTTGAAGAAGGGGGTGTTCATTCGTATGCATCTGACTTCTGGGCCCTTGGTTGTGTACTGTATGAGTGCTATGCTGGGAGGCCTCCTTTTGTTGGTAGAGAGTTTACTCAGCTGGTAAAATCCATTATCTCAGATCCAACACCGCCTCTACCTGGCACTCCTAGCCGTCCTTTTGTCAATCTCATAAATTCTTTACTCATAAAGGATCCGGCAGAAAGAATACAGTGGCTTGAACTTTGTTGTCATGCTTTCTGGAGGACTAAGTTAACTGTAGTGCCTCTGCCTCCTCAGCCTGCTTTTGATAATATGCTAGAACAATATGCTAAGCCATGTCTGTCAGAGCGCAATGGGGATAAATCTTCCCAAATCAGAACTCCTAAATATCGCCAAAATGATGTTAAAGGAACTTTTAAGCAGGATGAGAATTCTGTTTTAGGAGCAAAAGGTCATGAGACTCCAGTAAAGGGGACATCTGGAGGCCGCAGAACTCAAGCAAAGGTTTCTGGCAGAGGGGTTGATGAAAACCAAAAGGGTCCTTCTTGTGCCACTAGGGGTGTGAATCTTTTGAGGCTCTCAAGAATCGCAAAACAGAACCTGCAGAGGGAAAATGAGAAGGAAAAACTATCGCAGGCCGGTGTCTACTAATAGTTCTGAAGTCAAAATTGAGAACACGGATATGGAACTTGACTTTAATGAGAACGCAGAAGAAGACACACAGGATGAATCTGATGGGTCCGATATCCAAGGTTGTACACCTGATAACAAGTTTTCAAGTCAGCACCAGGGTAATATGGAAGAGATGGAAAACAACTTGAACCATTTGGATGCCCTGCCTGTTGTTAGTACACCTGCCTCAGATGAATCCAAAGTTCATAATCAGGAACCATCTCCCCAGAATATTGAAATGGCTGCAATTCCACCCAGTGCCAGTCCTCAAATTAAAAATCAGAGATTTAAAGAAGGTTCAGGATCGGCAGTTGACTATGATTCTTCAAAATCTCCGAATAACCTTTCACAAGTTCTTTGGCATCCATCAGATCTCTCAGTCAGACCCGTGATGCCCACCAGAAAATCTGATAAAAACTCGGAGGTAATTCCTTCTCTTCCCTTTGAGGCACTGCAAGCCTCTGACTTTGTGAAGATCTCTAAAGAGCAGTTGGATGCACTCAGTTGTAAGATTATAGCCATTTTTAATGGGAACAGTAGCATTGGTGAGAAGCAAAATGTAATTAGATACCTTGAGATGTTAAGCATTAATGCCGATGCTGCAAATGTCTTGACCAATGGACCTGTCATGCTTCTGCTGGTTAAAATGCTCCGGCTGTCCAAGGCTTTGGCTTTACGTGTCCAACTTGCTTCACTGGTTGGTTTGTTGATTCGACATTCTACTTTTATTCAAGATGATTTGGCAGATTCGGGAATTTTGGGTTCACTTGCTGATGGCCTTAGAGACAAGCAGGAAAAGGTGAGGAGGTTTTCTATGGCTGCTTTGGGTGAGTTACTATTCTATATATCCACCCAAATTGATCATGCAGACAACAATCCAGTAGAATGTCCATCAAAGGAAAGCCGGTCCACATCTGGGTGGCAGGTTAGTGTCATAAATATTGCAACTTGTTGCATATGCTCCTGTTCATAGAAAGATTGACTGTTATACTCTAATAGTCTGTACTTTTACTCTTAACCGAGTAAAAGGTTTAGTGGTATATTATATATGTATATGCTCTTGTAAAACTATCATTTTTTGTTTCCTCATCAGTTGGAACTTAAAAATATGTTCTACCAAGAGAACTGTTACTACTGGATGTCCTTGAGTACTTACCCTTTCTTTTTGTCACTGATAAGTTATTCTCCTTGGGGCAGGTGTCAAATGCATTGCTTTCATTGGTTTCATCAATTTTACGAAAAGGAGAGGACGATCTAACTCAATTATATGCATTGAGGACGATAGAAAATATTTGCAGTCAAGCAGGGCCCTGGGCAGCTCGTTTGACTAGCCAGGACATGATTAATAACCTATGCTATTTATACAGGGCTGCTGGAAAACAGGAGAGCATGAGGCTTACAGCAGGATCATGCTTGGTCCGTCTGGTTCGTTTTAATCCACCTAGCATTCAACCATTAATAGAGAAGCTCTCTTTAAAGGAAATAGCATCAGCACTTGTGAAGGGCAGTCTGCGTGAGCAGCAAATAAGCTTAAACCTCTTAAACATGGCCATGCTTGGAAGTCATATGTTAACTAATGTTGGCAGGTATCTCCTCCCACTGATGGAGGATAAGAATCTTGTCCCAAGTTTAGTGTCTCTTATTGATCAGGGAAGTGAGGTTTTGAAGGGAAAGGCACTTGTTTTCGTTGCTCTTCTTTGTAAGAGCAGTAGGAGGTGGCTGCCACATTTTTTTTGCCATGCCAAGTTGCTTTCTGTGGTGGACAGGCTGGTGAAAGAGAAGGACCATTATGTGCAGCAATGTTTAGAGACATCTTTGTGTGTTATGGCGTCAACTATACCCAGTTTACTGGATACGATTACTGGAGATATTCAGAAAACGATGGGAGGCAGGCGCCATGGGTATCAATCTCCCCTTAACAGTAGGGCTGCTCCAAAGACCAATGTTTATATGTTTCCTGTACTTCTCCATCTTCTTCGGAGCTTGTCTTTTAAGCGCAAGGTGGTGGGTGAACAGGTCCTGCAGCAGTTGGCAAATCTAATGAAACTCGTGGAGACACCATTTCAGGTGGGTGGCAGCCTAACCATTCTGTGTTATTTATAGTCATTGCTAGTCTTCTCGTTGCTATCACGATGCTTATAATTATGATATGATAAATTAGTAATACTAAATTGTTCTGTGTGATTGGATGAGCTAACTGTTAGTTATTGGAACTTGGGATGTTATGTAACTTGCCCGGTGCTTAGGTACTGTGTCTTGGCAAGTGATCCCAGGTTGTTATAGGTTGTTAAAATGCTTGAGCAAGTGACAACCTGATCACTTCCGCTACACAACATGCCATTTATTTTCTAAATAAATCACTAGTAATAGACTCCTTACCTTTTAAGTTGACATGCGGAGGGCTAAGGCATAAAAGTGCATTAGCTTGGACTTCTGGTACATTTATACTATGTGGAGTGAAAGGCAGTTATAGTCCCAATTTATGATGAGAAGTGGTAACAGATTAATGTTTTCTTGTGTGTTTGTGTGGTTTAACCGGTCAGATCTAAGTTGGTCCACTTTTGTACATCAACAAAACGAAAACGTAATATGGTGACGTTGATGCTGATAAATAATTACTATTGATTTCCAGGGCAGGGACGACTTCCAGATTACCCTTCTTCGAATTCTTGAGTCTGTCTCAGAGGAGTCACATGTAATTCTTGAAAGCCCTGACGTTTTTATTCATGAAGTTCTCCCCAGTTTGGCTGTTCTTTATAAGGGTAACAAGGATGGTGATGCCAGGTGTCTGTGCCTGAAAATTTTGTTTGACGTGATGGTAATTTTTCTGAATGAACAATCTGAAAATCAGCAAAGGTCCAATGAACTGGAATCCATATCCAATAAGAATTTTCTTCCTCTTTACCCATCCTTAATTGAAGATGAAGATCCGATTCCCTTGTACGCACAAAAGCTTCTTGTGATGCTTATTGAACTTAATTACATCAAAATTGCAGACATTCTAGATCTTAAGATAGTCTCGCAATGCTTTGAGTTTTTGCTCGGCGATCTCTCAAGTGCAAATGTGAATAATGTCATGCTATGTCTGGCTCTGACATCAGCACCTGAAATGGAAACCAAGTTGCTTTCTCAACTGAAGGTAGTTCGGAAAACAGGAAACCTTCTAGAGTTTGTGTGTGCAAAAGATATGGAAGATTTTCTGGAACCAACCCTTGGCTTATGCAGGGCTTTCCTTCTTCGGTCAGTGAGTGGTAGAAAAGGCTTCATCTATTCAAAAGAACCTGCTCTTCTAGGTGATGCATCTTGCGAGGCAAGCGGTGCTGATCAGCAACAAGGCATTAGAGATATCATGGACTTCAGCAGCAACATTGGCGTCTTACTAGAGTTGAGTAGATCCCACGGAGTAAATGTGGCAGATCTAGCTTCAGAATGCGTTGTCTTGTTGCTCAAGGCAGCTCCAAGGGAAGCCACTGCTGGTCTGCTAACTAATCTTCCAAAAATTACTGCAGTCCTCGAGTCTTGGCGTAGGGGCACATCTCACTTATTGGTGCAGCGGGTGCTGCATGCCCTCGGTTATTCATGTAGGCAATATTTGTTACACGCAATGATACTGTCGATATCTATACCCGAGATCTCAAGAATTGAAGGCATTGTTTCTGAGCTTAAAGGTTCAGGTGTACCTGTTTTAGCCACTGCCGCTTTCCATGTGGCTGTGGAGTTGCAACGGCTGCCTCGCTGCCTGTAAACTGTGGAGGCAAGATGCTCGTTTCTTTTCCCTCTTTCGTATCATCACAATTATAATCTCTCAAGTGTAACGATTTCTTCTTTTGGCATGCAAATCAATCGGCTTCTCCTGAGTTCTTGACAAAGAATCGACAACTCAATGAAGGTGAGTATTTGTTCTGCATTACGTTAGGGCCAATCCAGCTCTGGTTGGCTTCTTGTATAATCTTTGCAGACTTATATCTCCATTGGATTTCAATTTCTTTCGATATATATCTTTTTCTGGAATTTGCTTCACTGCAATTCGATCAAAACTTCATATGCTAATCATCCCAAAATGCTGATTATTTGTGGTACGAAATTGTTTAGCTGTTCGATTAAGGATGAACGAATCCACATTGAAATCTGGTACACAAGGGTTGTGAATTCCTGGCCTTTGTGGCAAGGCTTGTTCTGAATCCTTCCCCAACCCCATCTTTTTTATTTTTTTAACAAACAATATTATTTATGCTAAGGGGGTGGGAGAGTGGGTTAAACCTTACACTAGGAGCTTGTTTGGATGTGCTTATGGTAGAAAGCACTTCAAATGCTTTTGGAATCTAAAAACATTCTCTAAAAACATTTTCAGTCATTTTAAAAATACATTCAAACGAACCTTAAGCTAGCCAGAATAATGTGGTTCAAATTTGCGTTTGGTGAAAATCGAACTTAAAACCTCACTAACAAGTGAAGAGGAATACCACTAGATAGTAAATATTATGTTTCACTTAGACACTGGTTATTGTAATTCACGCAAATATTTGATGCACACATAAAAGGCTCACATGTATCAACAGTTAATTACTGTTTATAAGCGTGTCTAACTGACTGTTACATTTCTCAAGAGATAATCAAATACAAACCAAACTTTGATTTCATCTACGAACCAAAAAAAAAAAAAAAATTTAAAATGATAGGAAATTAAATCTTAATTGCTCACCGACTAAAATCAAATGCCAAAAATATAGTGACAATATTACAATAAAATATCAAAACCTAATAATTAGATATCGACTATCTGCTAAAAAATTGATCATTTTCCAATTAAAATTAAGGATTTTTTTTTTTTTTTTTATTTTGATTCAACGTTCATGCATGCTGCAATAGTTAACAGCATTACAAAGTTTCGATTTGATCCTGTGAAATTCCTTCGATTGGAACATCCTACGTCGGTGAATGGTTCGATTCAATCCAATTGTTGACCTGCTGGTGCTGGACCCGTGATTTTTGGGGGAGGGAGGGAGGGGAGGGGTTGGGGGTGGGGTTGGGGGTTGGGGGTTGGGGTTGGTATATAACTTACAATTGTTTCCTTCTTCTTTTTCCGGAAGTTTGAGGTAACTCGTACCCTAAAAGATAGGACTAATCCTTAGTTGGTATATATAATTGTCCTTGACCTGTTGCCCTTTTCTAATCCATCATTGATCGCAGATCTCTGCATTATGAGCCAATAATGTCCGATGTAGCATGATTTTTTTTCATTTTTCACATTAAATTTTCTTTATGTTAAAATAACAGTAGTTGTTTACCGACCCCAGTAAAATTTTAGTGTAGCATTACAAAGTTTCGATTTGATCCCGTGAAATTCCTTTGATTGGAACATCCTTCGTCGGTGAATGGTTCAATTCAATCATCAATCTAGTTGTTGACCTGCTCGTGCTGGACCCGTGATTTTTGGGGAGGGAGGGAGGGAGGGGTTGGTGGTTGGTATATAGTTGTTCCTTTCATTTTTTCCGGAAGTTTGAGGTATCTCGCACCCTAAAAGGTAGGACTAATCATTAGTGGGTGTATATAATTGTCCTTTACTTCTTGCCCTTTTTATGAGCCAATAATGTCCGATGCAGCATGGTGTTTTGTTCTTCTTTCACATTAAAATTTTCTTTAAATTAAAGTAACAATAGTTGTTTACTGACCCTAGTGTGACAAATATTTGGAATTCTTGAATTTTGACTTGGATGTGGATCATGACTGGAGACTACTAATAAGTTGTTTTATACTACGTTCTGCTCATTTTAAAAGTTTTATGCAAGATCTACACGTTGAAAGGTTCATTAAATCTTTATATGAAAGATTTACGGTTAAATTTTTCGACATGAGCATTATTGATTCACAGATTATGACATCAATCAACTCTTCCATGATTTTTTAATTTTTTTAATTTTTTAATTTTAATTTGAGTTTGCAATTAGGTTGCATCAAAGTGGTGGATTGTTCCGATTCTTCAATCTCACCGCTTCTTGGGTTCAAAAATTCTTCCTTATTCATAGTGTAGACGAATTTAGTATAAATTATGTTGTTATTTGTTAAAAAAAGGCCACACCAAAACATATCATTTGAATATTTCTTTTAATTGATGGCTTTAGAACTCAACATAAATATAATATCTTCATTATCCATTTGAGTTGAACTTGAGGCCTCTCACTTACAAATGAAGAAGACTAATAGTAAGTTGTAGTAGTAGTTAGTAATTGTTTGTTAATGCATATTAGAGCTCTTTTTGGGACTTTAAGCATCCGAAAATACAAATTGAGTAAAGTCAAACTTAATTAATTAATTTGCTTGATTGGAGTTTAGTTATTGGGTTAATGTGAGTACTTATTAGTGATATTCACTAGTGAGTAGTCATTTTTTTATTTTGTCCAATAATGTTTTAACACATGTTTAACAGGTAACATAATTTATTTTTGGATACACTTCAAATCGGTGGCCCTAGACGGTCGCACTCTCCTCCCCTGACCAGGGCCGGCCCTGAGTATGGACTAGGATTCTCTTCCTTCCTCTTTCCATCCCCTCCTCTCACATTCTCTTATTTTGTCTTTCTCTTGTTATAAAAAATTAATATAAGATGTTGACATGACTTAACCGTGACCTGTTCAAATAGGAGGATAGAGAAGGGAAGAGAAAAAAAGAGGAGAGAGAATCCTTCTTTATTAGGCTGATTGATGGTTTTATAACATTAAGTAATCAAGTAGAATAGGATTTAGGGTTCCGGATTATCAGTAAATCAAGGGGACAGCAAGGTCTCAGATCAAAAGCAAAAACAAAAAAACAAAAAAACAATCTGATTCCAATTAAAAAATATGGTCATCTCCAATCATTGATCTTTGTCTCTTCCCTGCACACGCCAACCTGTATTCGCTCAAATCCATCGAAACTTCACTCTACCCATGTGGCACATCGGTCCCATCTAAAAAGAAATTTTTCAATGTGACGAAAACATGTTTCGGTACATAAAAAATAATAATACAATTGGTTAGAATTTTGAAAAATAATTTCTAACCAATTTATCCTATTACACTTAGTGTATCGAACCTATATTCCCGACCCATTAAAAAATCTCTCAACCTAAAACTTCTAATCATCTACTTGGTACTAGTTACTAAGTTATTAAAAGCATTTACCTGCATAAGAAGTTCTAAGTCCAATTATTCCTCTCACAAATATTGTTTGTATAACAATATAAAAATTAAAAACTTAATCATCCTTTCCGCTATGTATATAAACAATATATTTACATAAGACGTGAGAGGATAAATTAGTCGTCTACGAAATTCAAAAAGCACAATCATAACTTCCACCAAAAGCATTTTTTCCCTTGGTTAAGCTCCAAAAGCACTTCCACTACACAAATATATAAACCACACTCCACTAAATTTTGTGGGAATTGATATCTTCATCATTAGAAATGGCCTCTTTTTGGTTAAATATAGCCCTCATTACGGCTCTCATTGTCTCACCTCTTCTTTCCTTCAACTCAAAAGCCTCAAGCAACTCAGCTTCACCAGCACTCTTCACCAACTCCCCTCCATCTTCTAATCTCCAAGGACTGCCTCCAGAAATAGCTCCACTTTTGCCATCTCCAGGTCCGGAGGTGCCTACCACTCCAACTGATTCCTCCATACCCACCATTCCCTCCAACCCGAGCCCTCCGAATCCCGACGAACTGCCTTACTCTGCACTTTCACCATTTGGGTCACTGCCAACTTCTTCAGCAGCATCTGCGGACTTATTTTGGACTTTGAAGTTGGCTACTTTTGCAATTTCAGCTGCATGTGTATTGCTTCATGCAGTTTCTTAGGGTGTAAGTCATCTTTTTGCGGGATACAGATTCAATTCTCATTGGTTGTAGTCAAAATTTGTCCAATATATATGTATAGTATTTCTTTTTGTATAGGTTAGAGAACTTTTAATTGATTTCGAGTAATATTCAGAGTTTGTAGCTCGAATAGTTGGAAGAGCATTTATTTTTACATTTGAGAGGCTGCATTTAGTTATCCTCTTTTTCGACATCGATTGTATAGGAAAGAAATTCTTGGTGTCTTGCTACTCTCACTAGAGACTATGAGTCTGCAACACTCATCACTTAGGTAAAATACCGAAAATTACAGTACCAAGTAAAGTCGCACATTGTTTTAACCGGATCGAAATCGAATAATTGAAAGTAAATTTATTTGTAAGTGCATGTGACATCCTAAGATGTACCGGAACGAATAAATTTGGCGTTTTAGGTAATCTAATCTGTCTGTTTCTGCTGTCGTGATCATTGAACACCAAGTCTCGTATAAGATTTGTTGATCTAAAAAGTGATAGCTGGATTTTAATGTCTCTAGTGAATTTGTTTGTCAGACGCCAACCAAGTGGGTGGGTGGGGGCACGAATTTGAGCAAAGAAAATGTCCAACTTGGAGGTGGGTAATGGGGCCTGAATCATCCAATGATCAAGTTTTCTTGTGTAAGATGTGAAGTAGATACGTGAGTTAAGTCAGTTAGTCAACATGGTAATTATCCGTCATTTTGCATTTCCACACTAATACGGCCCATTACTCAACATGGCACTAGGCACCCGAGTTTGGATTCCCAAATTCTCATCGTGACTAGCAGGGTGATTGTCCGTCATTCTGCGCTCAAGTCTGAATTCCCCAAATCCCTTCCTGACTAACATGACAGTTCATCAGCCATGCTGCACTCAAGTTTGAATTCCACAACTCTTCTCGACCACCAGGGCAATTGTCCGCCATTCTGCACCCCCCAAGTCTGAATTCCCCAAACTCTTCTTGACTAATTCCGAATCTCCCAAATCCCCTTCCCCACTACTAATCAAGTAAGAATTTGAATTGGTGAGAGGGGTTCTGAATTGCCATTTGCCACCCATCTTACAAAGGTTGAAGATTATCAGTAGTGTTTGTAATTAAGCAACACTTACTAGTGCTTGTCACATTGATTGCCTTCTCTTTCGAGAATTGTCGTCCATGATATTTGCAGCCTATGCAAGTATGATAAGAGTAAAATTCCGCACATGAGCAAACAACTTTTCATTATTTTTCTTGAGATAAAAGCAAACAAATACATAACATTAGAAACACCACTAACGATCGATCTTCAATTAAGCGCGCTAAAACATCCATAACTAGAGATAATTAAAGTCCCAAAATCATAAAATATAAACCTCATACAAAGAAAGTAAAGGGAGAAAAAAGGGTCCTCATGTTTGTGTTGGTTTTCTTCAAACTTCATTAAGCACTCTTCGCAACGAGATCCTCAATCAGATCAGCTGCATCTTGAACAGTGGCGATGGTCTGGGCATTTTCTTCCTCCACGGTGATGCCAAATGCCTCCTCAAGTCCCATCACAATCTCAACCTGTATCAATGGGTGCGAATATATCAATCACGATAACCAACTAAACACGGAAAAACAAACATCTATACCAAGTTGCAACCCCTATCATTCTAAAATTCTACTTGCGTTATAGGAAAGGAAAAATAATAGAAAGCGAATGATTAATCGGCAAGGTAGAAAATAGGAACAACAAAAGATAATTGGTAATTACTGTGTCAAGAGAATCGGCACCAAGTTCTGAAAACTTTGAGCCAGCACACACATCCACGTCTTCAGCTAAAGCCAGCTGCTTCTTCACTATGCTACACACCTTGGTGATAGTCTCCGGTTTGGCCTGCAAAAAGTATTAATACCATATTACTATTATAATTATAATCACTGTTACCTAACTTACATTCGACAGAGTTTTAGTACCTTCAAAGAACAAAAATGCTTTCTTAGACAACAAAAGGCTAAGCATCCTATGACATGGTTATGATATTCAAAGGATAATTTGTTTTGTAGATTAAAGAAAACTGTGGAAGAGTATAGGAATCATAGCGCGCCATGCGCAGATGGGTACAAAGCACTGGCTTTCTGAGATGCCATAATTTTTTATCAGGCCCTCTTTTGGCGAAACAGAGAAGACATCTGAGGTTCGTGTTAAAGGAAACAGCACTCTGTGTCTTAAGAGGACCTCAAAGGAAAAGTTGTTTCATAGATTAAAGAAAACTAGGGAAGATTGTAGGCATCATAGCGAGCCAAGAGCAGATGGGTACAAAGAACTGGCTTTCTGAGACCCATAGTTTTTTTATCAGGCCCTCTTAGCCAAACAAAGAAGACATCTGAGGTCTGTGTTAAAGGAAACAGCACTGCATGTCTTAAGAGGATCTCAAAGGAAAACTTGTTTCGTAGATTAAAGAAAACTATGGAACAGTGTAGGCATCATAGCGAGCCAAGAGCAGATTGGTACAAAGCACTGGCTTTCTGAGATGCCATAATTTTTTATCAGGCCCTCTTTTAGCCAAACAAAGAAGACACCTGAGGTCTGTAAGGAAACAGCACTCTGTGTCTTAAGAGGACCACAAAGGAAAAGTTGTTTTGTAGATTAAACAAAACTATGGAAGAGTGTAAGCATCATAGCGAGCCAAGAGCAGATTGGTACAAAGCACTGGCTTTCTGAGATACCATTATTTGTTATCAGGCCCTCTTTTAGCAAAATAAAGAAGACAAACTGAGGTCTGCGTTAGAAGAAACAGCACTCTGTGTCTTAAGAGGTCCTCAAAGGAAAAGTTGTTTCATAGATTAAAGAAAACTATGGAAGAGTGTAGGTATCATAGCGAGCCGAGAGCAGATTGGTACAAAGCACTGGCTTTCTGAGATACCATTATTCGTTATCAGGCCCTCTTTTAGCAAAATAAGGAAGACAATCTGAGGTCTGTGTTAGAGGAAACAGCACTCCGTGTCTTAAGAGGACCTCAAAGTATAATTTCCTTCATTACAGGAAACTTTTAAAAAGTGGATTGAAAATGTTAAGGGAACAAATGGATTTTCCAACATGTCCAACCAGTAATCATATTTTATCAATTCAAAAAGAACATGTATACAATAAATTAATCCAATGCCACATCACCAGAAGTGAAAATATATTTAGAATGCAGAAATTTATGTATGGGACAGATGACAATATAAGCAAAGATTACGGTAGTACTATGATCCATCAAGCTTACCGCACAAGAAATTTGGAGGTGCCCAGGTCGGGAACTGAGAGATGGAAAGCGTTTTCCAGTGACGGAAAAGGAAACTGATTTCAAACCAGAGCTCCTGCTGCCAGGTGCCTGCTTCAACATTCAACCATAAAAACTAAACGTCATGAATGAAAACTTATCAAATGAACATGAAGAAAAAGCAGAATCTAAGGAATTGAAAATTTTCAAGCCAATATTGTTCACTTATCTAAAAAGAGATCATGGAATAAACACCCTTCATCATAAACCTTCTAAAATAGCCAATCTCCCACAGGCAAATACCCAACACTCTTTAACTTATACGAAGGGAATCAAAGGAAAGTCAAACTGAAAGTTCATAAATTGTTCTTAAGCAGTGACAAAAATGTTGTAAATATGAAACAGAAAACTAACTAAAAACAAATTTCTAGAGGGAGAGAACCGATGGAGGGGAAGACGACCTCGGATCTCCTAAGATCTAAAACAATGTATCCACTACTCACTACCATCTTCCCTGTCTCTCCGAACTCTCATCGTATCCCTTCAGTTGTACTTGAACCATAAGTTTCTCCAAGTACAATCCGTACAAGTGATTTTTTAGAACTATTTAAAGTCATAAAACACGAGAAACAAAACACATCCTTCAGTTGTACTTGTACCATAATTTTCTTTTGATGTTTTGGTTAATCTAAGTTCAATACGTGCAGTTACCAGCACAATTCAACACACGATTTTTGAAACCAAGATATTTATTGTTGTGTCCAAAAGCTAGAACTAAAGCAAAGCAACCAGCACAATTCAATAAATGATTTTCGAAACCGAGTTATTTATTGTTGTGTCCAAAAGCTAGAACTAAGACAAAATCATGAAGTTCAAAAGCCACCCCATGAAATAAAAAAACTGACCAAATAGCTTCAAATCACCCAATGGGTTCATCAAATGTCTAACCCAACTGGTAGCATGCAATCAATTTCCATTTCCAAACTTCAAAGTAGCAGATCAAATTATTCTAAAAACTCAATTCAATCAAATATGTCATACTCAAGCTAGTCTCAGATCATTCAAAGCTCATACTTTATGATCATCAAAAGTAAATTTTCAATCAATCAGAAATGGAAGCAAAAGCTTCTAGATTTACAGTTGACCAAAACAATCAATACCCAGCTCAAAATCCAACCAGATTCACAAACTACACAATATGAGGATCCAAATCTACACCCAGAAACCCAAATCCGAAAAAACAGAACAAACAAGCATAGAGAAGAAAGATTGAAACTTTATCCAATTACCAAAGCGGGCTTGAAGGAGGTGGAAAGGGCAGCAGAAGCTTGGGCGAGGGAAGCCATTGGCGTCGACAGAGGAGAGATCTGGTATCGAAAGAAGTGAGAAATGGAGGAGAGAGAGGGCGGCGGAGAGCACGAAGAGTGTGTAGAGAGAGAGTGTGTGATTTGGGAGGAAAAGAGTCTTCAAACAAGGGTTTTATAAGTGCCGTGGATTGGTTGTTTCTTGGTGTTTGTTGGGATTTGTTGGGCCTTTTTCTCGCATTGTTTCCATCGAAATATGGGGCTGTTTGGCCCTCGGCCTTCTGTTTTCCTTCTTGCTGTTTGGCTCCTGGCTCAGGATTCAAGGAGGTATTGATATCAAATCTTCTGTTTGGCTCCTTCATTGCACTACTAATCTGTACCTTTGATCAAGTTGATTTCTGAATTTTTATTATAAGAGATATTCTAAACTAAGAGAAGAGAAAATGTTTAAAATCAGGACGCAGTGAATTGAGGCCGTCATAGGAAAATCAACCACTTGCAATTTATAATTTAACAAGTTTAGATTTATAGTCTAGGTACAAAAAAATATCTATCTACTTAGATTGTCTAGGGAAATCAACCACTTGCGATTTATGACTAAGTTTAGATTTTTTTTTTTTTATGAACAAACGATATTATCTATACTAAATGACAAGTTCATCGCAACCATGTATAACATTATTAACACTCCCGTCTTCTATACCAATGTTAGAGTGCAAATAGTGCTATTGGGAGCGCGCAACTTTTAGTTTAGAACTTGAAGTTTGATGAAATTTGAAGAAGTGACTTAATATTATTGAAATAGAAACTCAATTAGAAGAGAACGCAAAATAGCAAATGTCATAGAATATGACTGAACCTAATATTCCAGAAAAATTCAAACGCAAAACAAACATGATGTAGAGAGAATTACACACAATCATCAAAAGAAGCATACATAATTTATAAAATTATTACATAGAAGGATACTTTTAAAATGATTGAAATAGTTTTTTGATGAAAGTGCTTTTGGAACTAATCCTTACTAAAAATGCAAATGAATATTGAAAAAGCACTTTAAATACTTTATACAAGAAGCCAAATTAAAAGCACTTTTGAGATCCAAAAACACTTTCATATCTATCGAGATCTATTTATGACTAATAATTTGTAATTGATTATATTTATGCGTATTTTCTTTAAATATATTTAAAGTCGGCTGGCTAAGTAGCAATGGTGACCGTTGAAATGCCAATGCTGACAGAGAAAGTAAGGAGTCCAGAAGAGGGGAAGGAGAGGGATTTTATTTTTCTTTAATTCTTATTTCTCAATAATTACATTTATTTAAATAAATACAAACAACTTCGGAAGTTTAAAGGAATAATTTTCTGAGACTTGGATTTTCTGCCTTCCTCATCTCATACATATGCCATCCCTTCTTATTTATGTGATCATTGTTAAGCCACTTCAACATTCTATATTCCCATTGTCTTTTGTCTTATTATTTTTACAAAAAAAATCAATATAAAATATTAACGTGATTTAACCATGTTCACAGAAAATAGAAGGGGATGGGAATGATATATGATGGGGATGACAGACAATCCAAATCCAATTTTCTAAGGTTCAATTTAAAAAAATTATGGGCAGGTCAACTCAACTAAAAGATCAAATAATTAGACATCAATTTCTTACATTTCAAATCAAACACCAAAGTCTAGGAACCAAATCCCCTGGACCCAAAGAAACAGAGCTCAATAATCAAATGATTTGGGAGTATTGAAACTTGATCTAACTGTTACAATTATTATAACTTTTAGAGGGTCCCTGTTTGTAGCCATTGAACCAAATTTTAATGACCCGAATCATTTAATGAGTAGGTTCAATTCTTTGGATCCGGAGAGGATCCAATTCCCAAAGTCTACCAACTTATTTGAATGCCTTGAGCCCTACTAGCAATGTTACGAAAGACAGTGTGTTAGGTTTTCACATGTAAAGATGTCACAATCAATCGCTTGTGCATACATTTTTTTTTTTTTTTTGTCGAAAGATAGATCTTTATTAAATACGAATTGAAAGATTTACATCATTAGCTAGAATATTAAAATGAAACTCTGTACCAATACACTACCAGCTAAACGAACCACCATGGGTTTGAACAAATAAAGCCACGACATGCGCCGCTCGTGTACCTTCCCTACAAGTAAACTCGAACGAAGCAATCCCCACGTCATTTGCAATAGCCCATATATCACGTAAGTAATTTAATTTTGACCCTTATTTATCATGAGCTCCACATGCTTCAGTGATCAAAATCATCCCACGCAAACCTGCTCTACTAACCCTAGCAATACTCTATTCATTCTACGAACATAAATTGTTGAAACATCTTCGATAAACGTACATAATTTTGTTTGCTTAATTCAAAATAAAAACTAACGAAAAGTCCAAAAAAATTTAAGTTTTAATAAAAAATGATAAATAAAGGTGTAATAAATAGTACCAAGAAAATGTAAAAATGTGATTTTTCATTAAAAATGAACAGTACCATGAATGTTTCGTTAAAACTCCCTAATTCAAATTGTGGGTTCATTTATACTTGCGTATAATTTGTTGTTTTAGAGCACAATGCATTAGGTAAACAAGAATTATATGGAGTGCTTGCCTTGGCTTTTTGGTTGTTTCATTAAATTTCCAACCAACTTAATTTTCCATTTGCTAAACATAATCAATCATAAATCCATAATTTAATTCGATGAAAGCATGAATTGACAAGCTCATAGGATAAGAGATCTAAAACTTAAGAAGAATGATCAACACGCACTTTTTTTTAAACTTTTTACAAACCCTTATTTAGTTACGATTGTTAGTTTTGTTTGATTTTATTTAATGATCATAAATAAAGAAAATTATGTGAGAAGCCAAAATTAGCATGTAAAAATCATCTTTCAAACTTAGAGACATGCAATTCTTTTGATAAAGCTTTGTGTTCTGAATAATATAATGAGAAATATTAAGGAGACACTCTTAAAAGTGAGACTCTCCATAGATTATTTGTCACCTCATATTTTTGGCACAATGTTTTATAATGCTGGTATGAGAATTAACATTAAACTGTGAGGTGACACAAAGTTTGTGGAGAGTCCCACTTTAGTCTTCTTAGCATTTCTTTAATATAATTATAATTATAGTCTTTGTCATATAATTTTATTGTTCATACAAAGGGTGATGCTTTTTGTTTGCGAGTTCGATTAAAAAGTGCCAGCAAGTGGGTTGACCTTGCATGTGTAAATTTATCATTTGCAAAATATATACTTAAATGAAGGAAGTTTTAACGAAAAACTCACAGGTACTGTTTATTTTAACAAAAAAATCATATTTTTACATTAAAAAGGCATTCCTGTTACTATTTACTTTAACCTTTATTTTATCCTTAGACCAATTCAATAGTGGGCTAAAAGCCAAATTACCTTCCAAAATTCCCCACCAAACCCACTCCAACCCAAGGGAAAATTTTGGACTAAATGCTAAATGCTAAACCAATGCCAAATTCCCCCTAAAATTTAGCCAAGAAATCGGAGTGGACTCTACCCAATATTTATTAGAATTTAAATTTTTTTAGATTAAAATGTTTATAAAATTAATTTACGATGGCCTACATATTTATTTATTTTTTTTTCAAATTTAATTTAACAAAAAAATAGCCTAAGTTCATTCTTTAATAATCTCGAGCTAAAATTTTAGGCTAGAATGGTTGGAGCAGAAAAGCTGTTTCTGGGCTAAAAGCTAAATTTTCAGGCTAAAAAATTTGGCTTTCAGCCCAATCATTGGAGATGGTCTTATCATTAAAACTCCAAGTTTTCAAGTCATTTTCATTAGTTTTCCTTTAAATGAAAGGATATAATAAAAACAAAGTCTTTATCCAAAGGGAAAACTATTTTTTTAAAAATAAAAATAGGATCTAGTTGTGGGGCTACTCTACATAGAATTGCAACGATTTGAACCATCTATTTTTCAAGTCTTCGTTTATAGATCACCCTTTCAAAAAACCAATTCAATCCGCATATACCCATTTAATTGTCTTAATGAAATTTCAATATTTCTTATAACATAGTGTTCTTCAATTTCTTCAAACTCAATTAAATATCTCAAACATTTCTGATTTGACTAATATTTTGTAATGATGATCTATGAAGTGCATGGTTTGATCGTTGAAGTTTGTTGAGAAATGAGCCCCATAATCAGTCACAATTTCGATATATATATAAAAAAAAAAAAAAAAGAGTATTCCTTTTAAATAAAGGGCCTGGTAATAAAAAAATTAGCAATCTTGCTACATTTGCTGTATTTTGCATACTTTATTATTGCAAGGGATCCAAAACGATTTGCTTCTTTTGTCCACTTAGTGTCTATTAGTAAAAGCATTACTTAATTAACTTTATAATTTGAGGTTTTGCTTGGCAAATTTAAATATTATTCTGCAAATTTTAATTTGATTTCTTGACATATAAGTGGTTGAACTACACAGAAAAATCACGGATTTGAAATCTAAAAGTCGATTTACAATTGAAGAGGTTGTGAAGTTGTACCAATGCAGAGAAAAAATCCAGCTTCCCTTTTTGTCTTGATTTCAAAAGAGATGAAGGGCTCGATTGGAAGTGTACTAAATGGCTAAATCATTTTTGGTGAAATTCATTTTGGATTTCAAAAACATTTTAAGTGCTTTTTTAAAAAAAGCACCAGATATGTTATTTTTGCAAGAAGCACTTAAAGTGCTTTTCTAGAATTCACTTGGATGTTAAATAAGAATTGGTTTCAAAAATATTTTCATCAAAAACGCTTTTAATCATTTAAAAAATATTTCTAAATGAGTCCAAAAACATGAGTTTGGTATCCCTTTTACTTCTTTCAAAATTGCCAGATGATTACACAAATGAGTACCACCACCACTTCATCCCATTCCAAAACAACAAAAGAATTGCAGCTCAAGTAATAAAGAGCTTATATCTTGCATCTAAGGTTTTTGTATTCAAGCAATCCTCTCTCACTCAATATCGCAAATTTTACGACAACAAGAAAAATGAAAAAGGAAGCAAATTATATATTTTTCTTGGGTAATATCATGTTACAACGTAGTTTGATGGTTATTGCATTATCAAATCATTTTG